GGAGAACAGCTGCGAGAAGGTGGGGGGACAGCAGAAGCGGGGGCAAGTCGCATTTTTAAAGGGAACGACAAAGTCCGTCGTCTGACACGTTCCGAAGAGCAAACGCATCTTCGCATTCTTGATTGCCCCTCAGTGCTGAGTATGGGAGCATCAGAAGGAGGTGCTGCAGATGCACGTGTTCTTTCGAGTAAGTTCGGATGGACGCGCGGATGTTGAGGGGATGGGATAGGTGACAGATGTAGGCTGAAGACGGAGAACAGGGTCTCACCACAGCAGTGTGGCGTGTGTAAGTGCGAGGCAAAGCCGACAGGTGCTGGTGCCGTTTGCTCAGGAAATGAAGATTGTCTGTTTCAAACCTGCCGATCAGGTAGTATAACACAGGTGTCTTTTCGGTCAAAACCTCTGTCGACCCGCCCTCTTGAATCAGTAAGTTCGGTTTCTGCGTTTTGACGGTGTGTTTCCCCTTAAGTACACGGAGGAAATTACTGCTTAAAGATGGCAACAGAACAAAACGCTTGGAGTACGGTATCCTTTTGCGCAGGCACAGCGTTATGCCGACCCTTTGGTTGAGGAAGGGAGCTTAAAGCTGTCAGAGTCTACTGCATTTGACAAATTTGCTTATTGTTCACCCAGCTGTTCCGGGAACCTAGAGTCAGTGTTGCAAAGCGCTGTCTCTGCGAAAGCCCCTCAGAATCCGAAGGACGGCAGCGGTAGAGATAGCATGAATCGGTGTCAGTCGAAACGTGGCGGAGACGCACCTATTAATTCAAGCCAGAACATCACTGCAAGAGAATTAAGACACATGCCAACCCCATTGAATACCCAGACGGCTTCGCTGGAGAACGTGAAGTCTGGTTTGCACGCAACGGCACTCTCTGAGCATACTTCAGTAAAGCAGAAGCACTCCTCTATTTTTCAGGATAATGCAGAGACAGCGCATGCTCTGCCCCAAAACCAAGGAACATACAACCAAGAAGTAGCTGGCAGATGCAACCTAATAGCTCATGATAGATCTGGGAATCGACCGTCGTCATCTATGCCTAGCCTGGGCTCACAGAAGCACGGAAGAACAAAGCTGCAAAACAGTTCTGAGTTGAAATATAGTCCCAGTAAAAGAGTTACCGACGACGGAGGCCCTGATGCACCAAAATGGCAACTCCGCTCTGCACAGTCCAGAGACTCCTCTTCTGTGGTGGACAGGGGTAAAAACATTTCCAAACAGTCCTTGGATCCCAGTTCGACATTCGGAAACACAACTGGATTTGTTTCGTTAAGGAGGCGTAGTACGGAAGATTTGCATTCTGACATGGTGAGGAACGGGGACTGCCTACTGCCGACAAACCGCGCACGTGCCCACATGGAGAAGCCGCGTATTAACAGCGCTGCTCCTCCTACCTCCATTATGCGGCCTTCCTACATGGATGCCACTGCCGTTGGAAGGCGATTGACAGCGCAGAACAACATGTGGTCAGCAGTGGGCAGCTATGAGCCCCTCGCATCTTTAGTATTCCATGAGTTGTACCCTCAATTGTCCCGTGAACTCCAGGCGCTGTGCATGCAATGCCTCGGCACAGGAGATTCTTCAGAGTTGCGTGCGCTAACGGACATCCAACAAGCAGCCATGAAATTGGTTGCTGAGCAGTCTGTCCGAAGAAGTGCTGAAGCTAAAAGCCGTCTGGTGGAGGTCTTCAAACGGACAGGGCAACCAATTGGGACTCTTGAATCTCTGGAGCAGTTCCTCCTCCTGCGCTCTCCCATTCTCATCTACTTCGACATTGTAAGCTTAACGCCACATCTGGAGCAAGGCGGATTCATTAGGTAAGACGAAAAAGTGCATTTTCAGTAGCTACATTGCAACGCTTTACTTGACCGGTCGGTCGGGCTGTGCTGTTGAATTAGTCACTTGGATTCTCGTATTCCTTTAAATCAGGTCGCACTTCGAAATACCCCAAACCGACGCAACATACCTGCGCAAATGTAACGAAAGAGAGCAAGCTCTTTATTGTGGCCTGTATGAACACGAGTCTGTTCGACCCGAACATCATCCAAAGTACGGCTATGTTAGCGTGAATTGCAACCTTCAGCCACCTTGGGAGCCGCAACCCGGTGAAGCATGTATCATCCTGAAAGATCACGTGAGGTATGCTTTCAGATTTCCCTTCTCCCCTCTGTGACTGGCGGCACATCCTAGCATATCCGTCGTCGTTGGCGTTCTTCTAAAACGCTCCAAATGTTAAGGATGTTGGCGTGAATGCTCCTACAGAGTACGAGCAACAATTTCGGCAAGCCAGCATGATGGGTCTGGAGTCTTGTCGTTTGGTCGTGAACCTTTGGTGGCCACTCTTAACAACCCATGGCATGTCTTGGAGGCGCTTGGGCATGAGGCCCTTTCAGCCTTAGCCGTAAGCGTGCCGACTAATCTTTCAAGTCCCTTTATATGCCCGCGCATTCTCTACAGCCCTTTTGTTGTTCCAATCGGCTTGCTGGCTTGGATGTCGGCCAGGAAGTCAATTGACCAGCACTGAAGAGTCTCTAGTGCAATTCATCGTACACATTCTGCAATGGCGCAACGACGCGAACTTATGCACTGACCTAAAAGGGAAATCGCTTGTCGTTGTGCAGGCTTTTGCCGCGGAACCGACGTCAGAGAAAGGTGGTGACATATCAGCATTGGTGGACTGCAACATTCATGGAGAGATCAAACTAGGGTAAGCCTGGGTCTGGGGCTGTGGTACACATTGTAGTGGTGTGTTCCGGTAAAAGGCACTGCATTAAGTGTTTTCATCGCTGTTTTCAGAAAGGACGTCGAAGCGATTGTGCTGCCCAAGAGTGCAACACGGGACAAGGCCACTTTTGCAAAGCTACGGGAAATTGCCACCCAGCACATGGTGCCGATATTGTCCATGGAAAAATGCCCCAGAGCTGTTAAAGACGACGGCTGGAAGCACACACTGAGGCACCTGCAACACAAGGTTCTATTGAAGAAGACAGCTCTGGGGAATACATACGGGCAAATATAACGGGGCACGACGAAAAGCTAATTGCAAAGTTTCACCAAAATGTGACCCAGCGTCAGTACTGACGTGGAGAAGTTATGCAAGACGCAAACACACTTTGTCGACACTTGCGACGGCTTCGATCGAAAAGACCACTTTGTCTATCGCCGTGGGCTCCACTGTGGTGATAAACGGGTTACACAAGGCCTCTGACCATACCAACTGGGCGTCCTCTCATTTTGTAGTCTCCCGACCAACATTGGCGTTCTCTGCTATGGCATAAATCAGTCGAGAGTCTATGCATGCAGGGCAACTGTTTGCGGGAGGATCCTCCTTGTTGCTTCAACTGAGCAAACGATAGCTGCTGCCGGCAGAAAGGCGTGGCAGGTTTGCCGTTTCGACAGAGAACCTAACTGCTAAGTCCACTACGAGTGAAGCAGAACTTCTTCGTCAACGTTGCCGGCATATTTCATCCTGCCAACGGCAGTGATCTAGAGCCGCCGTGCCATTTCCGTACAGTAAATTTCCATGTGTGAAGGGGCCCCACGGAAAGCTGGTCAATGGTAAACCCACCAAATTATAGGCCGGCATGGATTATTCATCTTCTCGTTCCATCCATCGTAGATACGCTTTCACGTAGCTCTGGCTAACGCTGTGAGGCCCATAGGAATTGAGTGTAGCCTTGGCAACAGCTTCCAGAACCTGTTTTGTTTGTGCACGACCGCCTATTTGGCCAAGCAACAGTGCAACCTTGTACATGTGCGCGGACACCTCTGGCTGCGATAATCCAAGAGGGAGCCTTTGCAACAGCACGTAGATCCCAGCCGACAGGCAAGTAGCTGCCATGCCGACTGACTCTACGGCCCAGATGGAATCAGCGTGTACTTGCCGCATCACTTCTGCTTTCGCGTGGGCAGCCCTGGCGGCACTCTGCAGCGCCTCCCACACACCTGTAGACAGGCAGCCACTGACAGCTACGACCTGCGGAATGGCTTGCAGGATGTCCTTCAAGACCTCAGCTAAAAGCGCGCCCTGCTGTGCTTTTGTGGCTTTGGAGAATGGGCTGACAAGGTTTCTCAGTGCACTCTGTACACGATCCAGCTGCACGTGAATTGCTTCTCGGTTCCTTTCGAGGCCACTGGCGGGAAACCGCGAGCTGCAGTTGAGGCAGTAGAGTTCGCTGAATGCATATATCGGTATGTTCTTGCCTGTAGACGATGATATAATAGACAAGGAGTCAGGAAAAGCCACAGCGTAGGGTGACCATAGAGGAACACATGAATGACCCATTAGAGCCAACTTTTGCGTACTAGTCCATGGCTGCCGCACCTGCCCCTTCGTCAGAACCCGGTGAAGCAGCTTGGAGAAGGCGGTGACAAACTCGAGAGTTTTCTCAGGCATCTTCAAGAAGAGCGAATAGCTAGCGGTTTTCTCCGCCAGCACCTTGCGCAGTCGAACCGCTGGCAAAGGATTCTTGTGAAGGTGGGGCCCGAAGCAGCGGTTGAGCAGTGCAGCCGCGTCAAACAGTGCATGCTGCTCCTGTTCATTGCTTGTGTTCTCTCGCATACTCGATAGAATCTTCTGCGCGCCTGATATCGAAGTGCAATGAGGACATGGAAAACCGCAGAGTAGCTCATATCGGAAGGCAACGCCTCCACAATCAGCTGGACTATTGTCAGCCGGCGGAGGGAGGCAGGCCTGCTCAGCAGAAGACAAACACACCGCATAGCGATCCTGCTGAGGCAGCTACGGGAAACGGCACGTCACAGGCGTCTTCCGCCTTGCATTGATGCGAAAATAAGAACGGAGTCTCGGGGCCAGGGAACAGGACACTTACTTCGCAGCGACAAAAAAAACCAGCATGCTTGATAAGCCAGTCTTGGCGAAAGCCCCAAGAGCTCTTCGGCAGCCCAATAACCGGACCATAAGAGATGCAAACCTCCTGCACACGGCCGCTACATCCCGAATTATTCGGGGCACCCAATCGGACTTGTAAGAGCGCGCCTCGCCCCACACCGCGGGTCCTGACAAGTAGAGGAGCATCTGGCGCCGCTGCAGAATCAACATTGTCCTCGCCCTGGTGCTGGTGCACCCTGTTCTGATCACGCTCCTGCTTGCGCTGCAACTGCACCTTGGGCTCTCCAAAAGCTACGATAGCATTGGGAGTACACGAATGGTTAAGTAGAGACGCCGCGAGGAACACCGCAGTGCCAGCTGCCACCGCTTCCTCTTCAGGGTCACAGAGAACGCGAATTGTGAAGCTGTTGCAGCACGCTACACCGTAGGCGTGGAGTGCCGCTGCGAAAAGGCACCTAGGAAAGGGGCCAACGTTCCGCGACAAACCGTCAGGCTCTTGCATGCGCGACGGACAAACCGAGCACTTCGGGCACCAACGCCGGCAACACACGCAGCACCAACCACAAGGATGCGTTGCGGGGGTCTCATCTGAGGGATGTGCGAACCGTGCGGCAGCACTCTCTGCAGTAGCAGATGCTGACTGTGAAGTTGCAGGCGGTTCCCTTCCCGCGGGTCTGCAGATGAGACAACGGCCACCGCAATGTAGCCCTCGTCCATATGCTGTGGCTTCACCAGCCAGCCATGCAGCATTCAGCAGCCAATCCGCCACCATCGTGCTGTCCACCACAACGGATGACGTTCTCATGAGCAACTGGCGCCATGGCGGCTCGCCCAGCACACGAGCTTGCACTTTGGCGTTGACTAATGCTGTCGAGCCGTTTTGCACTGCCGGTTCCTCTAAGGGAATTGCTGGCGGCAACAGGGAAGCCAAGAGCTGACGCGCAAGGAAACGATGAGGATCTGGCAGCGCTAGTGCTAAAGGCTGCACCTGCGTGCCTGGCATACTTTCTGAAGCTTCTCCCCGCGGTCCTTTTCGGTCGTCGCCGCGCGTTGAGCGGCTTTCCATCCCACATGCCTCTTGCTGCTGGGCTTGCTGCATTTGGTGCAAGCGGCATGCACGCTTGTGAGATGAAGCCGCTCTGCAGCCTTGGCAGCAAAACATAGCAGCCGCGCAAGAGCCGCAGGGCACCACAGGGAGCGTTGGATAGAGTAAATGGCTCACTGTGCTGTGCCAGGTGTCGGGCCCTTGCATATGGCATTCATTTGCAGCTACCTCCCCTCGAGCCGGTACTGTCGCGCAGCCTGCACAGATCCCCTCTGTTTCTTCCTGAAGCTCTAGCCAGGCCTCGTGTCTTCCTTTTCCACTTTCGTCGACCCTCTCACACTCTTTCTTACCCACGGCGCCTTCTTCAACGCGCGCCTCCCACTGGTCACGGATAGTAGCATCTGCATGGAGCTCGAGGCCCTCCGGGTTTTGGGCAAACGCTGAATTGTGGGGAGGAAGAGCGAAGGGGATCTTCGGAATGGGTGCACAGAGGTCTGGGTGCACAAAAACCGCAAATGCTTCTTCTTCCAAGACCAAACAAGGATCATTTTCAAGCCTAGAAAGTCCATCGTCTGCTGTCACCAAGCCCCAACCTTTTGCGTCCCGGTGTGCGCTTACGTCTTTCCTGAGCCAAAGCCATGGACGATCAGATACGGTGTCCTTGTTATCGGATGAAGGGCGAAGAGTTGCACTGGAGCCACACCCGCAACAACCAACCATCATGCGGCTTGCTGCAGCAATTGCTTCCGAAACGTTGGCTTGCCCCTGGGACATCATCTGGGCCTCTGCTATCTCTCTATCGACCTGCTGCAAGCAAGCGCGAGCTGCGGCAGTGCAATCGTCCGTATTGGCACTAGCACTGTCTCTGCTGCTACTACTGCTGCTGCTGTTCTTTTTGCTGCAGAGAGCTACGAAATACCGCTCCACTGCGCCTCGCACATGCACCAAAGCTGCAGCACGGCGGTGCCACGCCTTGCGGTACATTGGATTCGCAGCAACGGCCTCCGTCGCAGTTCGTAGGGCTCTTCTGATCCGTCTCAGCCGCAGCAGCGCAGAACTTGCGTTTGCACACAACACCGCCAGCAGACTTTTGCTGCTGTTTGGAGTGCTGCCGTTGGTGATGCTTGGAAGCAGCATTGTCGCAGCTGTGTAAAGAGATGCAGCAGCAGCTGGACGGTCACGTGCCAGAGCTGCATTGCCCCACAATTTTAGTTGACTGCTAAGTTCAGCACTAGGATGCAGCTTCCAGGTTTCTACAGTCACCACAAGGCAAGGCGGAGCGGGCTCCTCAAGAGGTAACGGCCAGACACCCTCGTTGCTTGCTTCCCAGAGCCCACGAAAAAGAGGAAACAAACAGGGAACAAATGCTGCAGAAGCAAGCGCCATAGAATCGATTGAAAGAATGCTTCTGTGGCTTGGGGATCCTTCCGAAGCAGCATCACCAGTCGAACTGCTACTGCAACTGCTGCCAATGGAATTAGTGCTGCTACTGCATGAACACTGCAACACCCCATTAGTATCAACGCTGTACGGAGGGGGTGGCGGTACCAATGGAATAGAAAGAGAGATAATACGGTGTGCCAAGCACACTGCATGGCTGCTGCAGTTGCTGCTACTGCTGCTGTTCAACAGACCGGAGGCATCATTGTCCACACTAGCGACGTTGCTGTAGCTTATGCCGTTGGTGCTGCTGCTGCAAGCGCTTGAACAAGAGATCCCGGAGCCTCTGCACTTGCAAGGCTCGAGAGTTGGTCTGCTGCTGCTGGCACAGGTTTTGCAGCAGCAGCAGCACTCTGCGTTGCTTCCATCGCACAGAGCCGCGTCGTCTGTAGGTTGGCGGGTGCATAAGAATATTTGCAGTTGCTGCAGCACTGGGAGGCCGATCTGCTGCAGATGCTGAAATAGCAAGCTGGTGGCCATTTCCGCTGCCGCTGCCGCCTGATGGCATGCTGATATCTAGCAGGCAGCTGCCTATACAGCCAAATACACCATCAGGTTCCAAAAGCGACGAAAGGGAGTATGTGGCTCGCGACAAGCATCGACGTGGTCCCACCGCCGACGGTGGCAGACGTGACACAGCAGGAGTGGGTGAAAAAGTAGAAATAAACTAAAATAACCCTTTAAAATTGTAGTTATAAGTACGACTAATGACTCTTCCGTTTCATAAGGGAACCACAACACGTGTCTGGCTTGCGAATTCCCGCCTCCGGTTCAGTGAAAACTGTACAGAACAGTGTTGCATGCATTTGGGGGCGTGGGTATTGCCTGCGTTTTGTGAAGAGATATCGACCACTGAAGATAAATTTAATGTCTGTAGTTAATGCTGCCAAACAAAGGCTAAAACGTGAGAGCAGATCAGAACAGAGGGGTGCATATCCTGGGGCATCATCCCTGGAAGAGGCTGGAGAGCATCTCAGGTTTTGTGTTCGCCGCCCTTCGGCAGCCCCACCTGCAAATTTGTTGTCTATTTGGCCATACATTTTCTAGCAGGCGCATATCGACATGGCGCAGACGTCCTCAGGAACAGCGGTATGGCCAGACAGCACGACAGTGTTGAGTTTCTTACAGTGTCACGAAGTGGATGGATGCAGCTTAACCTGCTCACGGGGGGAAGCCTCTTTTTTCGTCTCCAGTCGAGCATTTATGCTACTGAACACCGCAATTCACCTGCACGTACACCGTAACGAGCGCAACCGTTCCCTGCCCTCCTCCCTGTGGCCCTCAGGCAATGCGTCTAGACGACCTCGTGGTCCCTGCGAAGAATGGAGAGCACAGAAGTATTCCGGGGGCAAAGTTCATCGTACGCACCATGGGGTTATGCAGCCGTCACTCCTGAATGCACAGCCGCTCGACAAGGAGACACGGCACAGCATTGGCTTTGTTTTTTATACGTACAGTGCTATTGATGGTTTGAATTACCCATCTTACTTTCCATACCTCTGTGAACCAGGTAGTGGAAATTGCTGTCTCTTTATTGCTCAACGGCAAAACTGCCTCCCTGCACTGTGTCGGAGTGGTTGATTTGGAAGTATAGAGATGTTCCTACGCGTGTGCCTTCTCATGCTGTACTGCAGGAAAAGGTGGAGACATTTGTTGGTTCCCGAAACCCAACGTCTGTTGAGTATCTCTTCAAGGAACTCCTACAGTACAGCTGCAATCTTCTCACTCTCCCCATCTTTTCCTTAGCAACTTGGCAGACTGCACCATTTTATTTCCCAATGATAGGTTTGTGTATTGACAGCTATGGATTTGTATTTATGCTTATATGTGCGTGTAAAAGTGCGCACATACATGTTGGGCTGCAGTAAGCGTTCCCTTCTTGCAATACAGGAAATATCGTTTCATGGAACATTCTCTGTTGGGACAGAAAGACACGCTGAGGGCCAAGACAGTCGCCATAAGGGAGACAATGAATGCGCTGGAGATGCTAAAAAAACAGCGCGTAGGGAAGCATTTTGTTGCCTCAAATATTAAACGCCATATTTGCAGTGAGTATGTACTTAAAGTTAACTTAATGGAACTTATTTTGCCTTTGCTCCTCTCTGTCGTCTCGGGCTCCTCAATACAGGACATCGCCAAGGAGGGAGGCGATGGGGAACTTCAGACGCACTTCCAACTCGCCGAGACAATCCACGTGCAGGCTACTGTTCCCCCGACTGACACCGTTTGTCTTTGGCTCGCCGTAAGAATGTCTAGCTAGTCGCTGCAACTCGCCAGCCCAGGTGGCGAGCTAGCCGGCAAGCAGTCGTAAAACAGCGCACTGAGACTTGCTGGATCTCTTCAAAACAGATTCACGTGGACCTGTACTACGTAGCAGTCATAATGACCTGCAACAGACTACCCCTGTCTATGCATTGCTACGTTTGTTGGGGGATGCCGGATGCAGGCCGATGTAGTTGTGGAGTATACCCTGCAGGAGGCGGAGGATGTCCTTAACAAAAGCCTCAAGGTTGCAAATAAATACCTGGAGGAAGCGGTAAGTGGATCCGGGGCTGATGAAGTGACTGCCACATGGTTTTAGTACACCAAGACGCTGCTTTTTGGTTTTTCCTTGGTAGTCCTCGCCTTCTGTGGAGTGAGTATCTGTCGAGGAATATGCATGAAGGACATACTGATGCCGATGTACAGTCAGAAGCGAGAAGCCTGGGTTGCGGTTTCTTTTGGCTTGATGGTTTCTGCCGGTCAAGTGCCAAGTGCATCTACTGGCCAACACCTATTTCTAAACGTAGGCTGTCTGCACCTGTGTTCATTAGGAGGCCGACATGGAATGGCTAAGGACCCAAATTACCATGACCGAGGTCAACATCGCCCGCGTGCACAACTACGCAGTGCTAAAAATGCAACAGCGGCAAGCCGCTGCTGGCGCAGGCAAGGTTTCACAAATCCAGCCCGAACAACCCTTAATCTTAAGGCTAAATGCTGCAAACGGCCAACCCTACCTGCAAGCCTGCACCGCATAAGCTGCTGATTCGGAAACGAAGAAACAACCAAACCCCCGGCACTGGGACCGGCATACGGCAGCTACTGAAGCTTAACTCCTATTCAAAAATCACTGTCCATGCTCACTACTGTAGCGTAGTACAGAATAAGACGCCACTGTGCACCTTATACATTCTGCCTGCGCCTCCTATAAGCGTGCGCATTGGTCAATCAGCACAGAAGGGATAGATACAAGGTACGAAGAGTGCTGCTAATAGTGTTGCAGCAGCATCAATGCTGGCAGGCGAGGTTTGCTGTTGTGAGTTGTGCTTCTTCAGCTCCCTCAGCAGCGCAAGAAAGTGCGGCTGCTTGAGCCGCACGAAAAATGGCAAATGAAGGCCGAAGCCTTTATCAAATCTGTACAATGCAGAGAGGCATTGTTTTCCCTGTTCTTCGTTCCATGTCCAAACTTGGTTTTCAAACTATGAACTGCTGCCACTGTCTGCCGTCATTCGTCATTCCCTGTTTCCAACAACGCCTGCTGTACAAGAAGCAGGATGAACTTGAGCTAGCAAAGAGCCAAGGAGCCGATATGCGCCATATACACTCCTTCGCTTAGATGCCTCAGCACACGAAAACTGTCTACACTAGACGTCTAGTGCCGGCCCAGGCGACAACAAGCATCTTTCGCAGTTGCATTAAACATGCCCCCGTGTTAGGGTAGGAAGAGGGAAAGCTAGCGAGGAAGCTCACGCCTAGTTATCTTAGGTTCCTTTTTGAACCTGAAGAGTCTTGATGCGCAGCTGGTCCGCTGTCCACTGTAAAACGGGGACTCCACAGACATGTAGCCTCGCCAGATTCGGCGAGCCAGTCGAAAAGGTGCGTCCCCGCTGTAAATGCACAACACACAATTCATCATGACACACTTATAAGAATAAAGCTCGCTCGTCAGTAAGGTCTATTTGCTCACTGCATCACCGTCAGGACGGCGTGGTGGAGGCGCTACAATGCAAACTTCTCCTGGTTGGCAAGAAAGCTCTCTCTCACGTAATGTGTCATCGTTCTGAAAAGAAGCGCCCGGGGGCGTAAATGGCTTGCCGTCTCGGTCCTCATTTGACCTCTGGCCGCCATGCTCTGCGCCTGTTTTACACCGGGACAAGGAAAGCGCAGGGCCGGCGAGGTTGCGAACAGCGTGGAGTGTGAATGTGCGAACTTGAGTTTGTTTGTTCGTCGTCGGTAAGGAAACAGGGGTGCCTTCAGCCGCCAACGCCTTCCAGCGCTCCATGTTGGCGTCCAAAGTCGACAGTACCTCAGCCCTTCAGTGCAAAATACACAGACAGAGAAGTAACAAAAAACATGAAAAGGAGATAAAACGAAGGAAAAAAGCGGCAGAGGTCATGCGATAACTGCTGATACAACAGCGGGCCTGGTACTGTGTCCGGGTGTGGGGAAGCTGCCAATCAGTCCGCTTTTCTGGAAACGACGAAGGCGATAGAGCAGAATCAGCTGCAAACTATCGACGCAAAAAGACCTACGCCATTTGTGTGTGGCTGTCAAACTCAACCAATTCAGCAACAAGTGGTCGAGCTACAAACGACAAGAAACTTTCTTGCGACTTTGCAATGTCCACTTGGGCATCCCGGCTGCACAGTGGCGATACCGACATACCACGCCGCAGTTCCTGCAACGACAAATACAGCAGTTAACACCTAGAACTCCACATACGAAAAAAACAAACGACACCCAAACTGCAAACCCGATAATGCAATATATAACAAAGTCTTGGGCAACTGTACACCTGAAACCACTGCGAAAATGCTCTTGAAGGATGTAAAGGGGCAGCAAATATAAATAGCAACGAAATGATGCAATCTCCTGAGAGTTCTCCTAGAGTTCTCACACTGTTTCGGTTTTCAGGTTTCAAGTGGAAGGAAAGGAGATGGGTGCTAATCACAATACATTTGTATAGAGTTAATTCAATATACACAAAGAAAACGAAAAGCCGTCTTTTCGGAGCCACTCGCGCTTCCTCGTCTCGCTTCTTTGCCTTACTTCGTCTCCCTGCTGGAAAAACTCCTCAGTGATAGCGCATGACATGACGAAGTGGTCTGACCAAGGCAGGGCAGTATGGCAGAGATCCCCCAATTTAACGCACATGCGTAGTGTAGCCCATCTGTCCTCGACAGAATTTCGAAAGGAGAACTCTTCGCATTGCCGACGCATGCGAAACTTTGAAATGTCTTCGAAGTGCTGCTTCATGTCCGTACTGAGGATACACTCGATGATCTTTGCCCGCACGGAACGGAAAGCCCCCACAGACAACAGAAAAAAAATGTTGCAGCTCTTCCTGCATTGATTCCCCACAAACAGAGCACCACAGTTTGACATCCGGAGTGAAACGCCAACAACCAGCAATATACAGGCAGATGCAGAAACACTCGATGGGCAGTTCTACACAAGCAGACGCTTGCAGGACCGAGACAGGCCTGTCAAAGATCTGCCTAACAGCCACATTCCTTTAGTTCACTTCAGTAGCCCCTCAATTCAACTGTATGCGGTGACGCGAAGTGCGCGTGTTAGATAGAAACACAGCTGTAATGCGGCAGAATGCAAGTTCTTCGCACCTTTCAAGAATACGAAAGCACAGACAAGAGTGAAAATTCTCAAGTGGAGAGATGTCGTTGTAGATGATTGCCTGCAAGCAGCGCAGCAAGGCCACAAAGAAGATGCATCCTGAATTCAAAAGCTCATCGCCGCCCATCAAGTACCTCATCAAGGCAAATGCCAAATACGAGACATTGCGAGCGGAGCTTAGCTTCTCTGTACTTCAGTATGCGTTCCTTGGTCGTGCGAGAATCGAACAAACGGGTGCTAAACTGCTCTACGTGCTTGAAAACAGGGTAATGTGAGGACCAAGGCAGTAATTCATTGCTTTAAGAAGCTCACCAAAGGGTCAAAGCAAGCCACAAAGAATTGGTTGGTGCGGCCGGGGTGGCCGACATCGTGGGCCAACGTGGCCACTGCGAGTGCAGCTTTCTCTAGCGGTTCCATTCTGCAATACACAACAACACAACTTGCACTGCCGCTTTGTCATGGCGATTATTACTACTTGCGTTTTTACATGTGAACTTTTGCCAGTGGCCTGCATGCAGTCTACTCTGCAATCATGATAAAGAACAAGTTGCCACCTACATCTGCCAAACGCCCAGCATATTCGCGACGCTAACTGCGCCATGCCCCACCTGCACGCGTAACCACAAACAAGCAAAACGTGAGACATCCTGCGGTAGCAGTTTTAATATATATGCCGAGCGGAAGCAGCAGCCCAGCGTTCACATGGAGTTAAAGTTGTACGCGTTTCGCAGAAAACAAAATTTTGGATTGTGGAGCCTACCATGGCTGCATGCAACTGGTTGTGGTACGGGTTCGGCTGATACTGCCACTGCAAAGTTTGCAGGAATTGAGATAGCTCATTGCTGCCGCAGCCCCAGTCTGTTACTACGGGACCCAGGAGAGCTGTTCCCACCACAAAAAGAGCGCCGTTAACTTCTTGATCCAGCTACACATACACAGAAAGGAAGCGGTCTTTACAGCACAACTTGGATACAGCAGCCTGTATAAAACCCGCTCTCTGAGCCCTTCAAGTGCCAAAAACGCATTCGGAAGGGGCTCCATTACACCAGGCAGACAAGAACTTTCGCAAGGTTAGGGGATTGAAGGGTCCCCTTTGCTGTCGCAAAGGGGACCTTCAACCCCTTTGCGACAGCGTAACAACAACCTGAGTGCAGTGCAGTTGGGTCTCGCGTACGTTCTGCTGCTGCTGCTGCTGATGTTGAGAGGAAAGGGGCAGCTACGTCTTCAAAATCATGGTTAAACGCAATTCTAAACAAACCGAATTCGTACCTGGAGCACACTGAACGACCACTGCTTGCCAATTGCATTCATGTTACGCTCCGCCTCATCCAGAAGCTGAAATGCGAGAAAGAGTAACCACATATGCACAAACAGACAACAGGTGAAGTATCAAATATAGTTCTACAATCAGTCTTCGAAACAAGTGGGTGCCCAAAACCGAGTGCGGGCGCATCGTTGCTGACGCCCACAGCGATGTTCTCTTGCTGGGAAATCTACGTTGTCATTTCGGCCATCTATCGAGCACAAGCGCCTCTGTTTTGGCTCTCGCCTTATGCAGTTAGCCGTTGTGTCACATCGTGCGTGCTTCCACACAATGTGCAAACACCTGTTGAAAAGCAACACATGCGGCATGCAGATTCGCACCAAACGCTGTGTGAATGAACAGTGTAAGTACAATAAAATACCTTTTTCCGCAGCATAGTCGCTTGCTTTTTCATGGGTTCATCTTCAGAGTCGCTGCTGCTGGAATCGATGACGTCAGAGGAAGAATGAGGAGCTGCTGCACACAACGAGAGAAGCAGATGAGACTAATTGCTACTCACACCAGAAATGCAATGGGCTAACTGAAGAATAGATGCCAACGCAACACAACAATAAACCATAAGAACAGACACAGACACCTTGAATCGCGGGGTAAAGGAGCGCAAAATACAGCCAGAGATCCAGACAAACTACAAGGCACGACAGGAACTCAGAGAATTCCAGGAGCAAGCAGATGCCGTTCTTTCCAGAAAAACTGTCGAATCAAGTATTAGCGACGGACCTCCTTGAATAGAAACGTCCGCGGCCTTAGAACGAACTGCCGACTGAGATGCTGTCAAGGATCGCTGGTGAGATGAGCTGGTGAATTCATCTACTCGATCTGTGCCGTAATGCGAATACATCTGCAGAAAGTGTTTGCTGAACCTCTGCACACCGCTCACAACACGCACATAACAAGCATAATATAAATACAAAAAAAGCACAAACGGACGCCCAAAGAAAGGGGAAATCGTCGAGAAAACGCGTGCGCATTCATGCATGCATGCAAACATCCTTATATACAGACATGCATAGAAAACATACATGCGGATATAAGAACTTGTGCAAGCACATGTCACTAGGAGACGAGATGTATGCAAGCACTCACAAACAAAATACAAAGACATACAAACATACAGACGTGCAACAGCATTCCTCGTCGCCTTCAAGCAAACAAGCGGTACGGCGGTTTGTCCGTGCATTTTACAAGCGTCTTGCTCCGAAGGCCCCGTTGGGGTCCCTCTTCAAAGGTTTTGTTGTGGAAAGGGGAAGCATTTAAACAATCAAAACAAGAGATGCAATCAAGAAAACCCCTACATCTGCTTTGCCGATGTCCACTGTGTACAGCTTCTCGCCAGTCAACAGAGTGCGACGGCACCTGCAGCATCCACACCAACATAGATGCACAAATGCATGTAGAGACCAATTCTCGCATTCAGCACCAAGAACGTATATAGAAGCACGATCAAGTAGTGCGCCTGAGGCAGGAGTCACAAAGAAACCTAATTTGCATTCCTAAACGCACTCAGAAACAATCCGGTACACCTCGTGGAACTCCTCGCCGAAGTCGTGTTCGATGTTCCGCATTTGTTGAAGAATCTTCCCACACTGCGCAAGGGGCAAACAACAGGAAATCACAAGAGAGAATGCACGTAACGCTACATTAACGTGAAAAATACGCATTATCCCCCCCAAAAACATTCGCATACGTTCATTGAAACATCTACATATGGGAAAGGAGCCATGGTCAGAAATATATATATATATATATATATATTCTCGTACAAATATACATCTACATGCATATGCATGCATACATTTATAAAGAGTGAATATATATCTATACCACATATATACGTAGACATGCAAACATATATATATATATGTCTAGACGCTTTCAAGCATTGCTCTTGTGTGCGTGTGAGCGCATTACCTGTTCAAGTTCGCCGACGACGTTTTCCATAGCTGTTCGTGTCTTACTGGTATCATCTCGTTCATGAAGGAGCTCCATGAGTCTCAGCCGCGACCTCTGTACATTTATTTCAACCGCATGGACACACAAACTTGACAAGCGAGGTATACCAGGGTGCCCCCTTTTATGCAAGCGCAGCATTCAATATTCTCAGTTTCGCCGGTGATATACATTCTCTGCCTATATATACATATATATATATATATACTACGTATTTGCGCAAGCATGCGTTTCCATTGCAACATAGAAATATGCATTTAGCAGGCTTGCAATAAGCATGAAAGTGCACATGTAAACATACGCATGCATGCACGTGTACGCATGTGAACGGGTGTACCGCAGGACCGCGCAGGCTCTTATTTGCCCTGCCTATCATAAATATAGCAGCATTAAGACGTCCCCCTCCTCCTACTCACCCTCCATTGCAGGAACAGCAGCCGGTGCTGCAACTCCCCCGAAAGCCGCCCGGCGTAGGCCATTGCCGTTAGAATGGTCGCGATCGTCGCAACAGCTAATCTGTGGAGCGACACAGATACAGAGAAAGCATGTGTGTTTATGTTGTGCCCATTATTCTGTCTGCTTTTTAAATTTGTTTGCAATACGTGTGAGCGGTTGCATTCACAGATATGATTGTGTTCGGTGGCATTCAGAGTATGCTGCAGGCAGCTCGGATGCACGCTGCGTACAGACAGCCGAAACAACACAGACACAAGCCCAACTACTCGCACGCAGCTGTCTCTTTCAGTCTCTTTCTGCTGTCCTTTCGTACGCCGTACACAGCCCTCTAAACCCTTAACCCTCAGTCCTAAACCCTACGCCCGAAACGTACAAAGTGCAGAGGCTGAATACTCTGCCGTCAGCAAATCCCACAATGAAGGGAGCAGTGAGGGAAAGCGAAGTAAGGAAGTGAAGAATCATAGTCCATTTCGTGAGTATGGGTCCAATGAGGTCCATGAAGAGGACGTTTGTAGCGAACACATAAAGATAGAATACTGATGTTTCCGTCAGCAAACTCATAAACGATATACCCGACTTCGCTCCCTTACTCCGCAGCTCCAGCTCTAACTCCAGGTACTTCGTCATGTACACCTGGCCGGCTATCAGTGATGCGCTCATAAGACCAGTATACTGCACAAACAACACACGCGCTGCGTGCAACTTTAGGCGCTGAGGAGGAGGGAGAGCAGCAGCAAGTGCTGCTGCTGCTGTCGCCGGCGTTTTTGCTGTTGCTTGTGGCTGACGAGCAGCTGGTGCGTCTCTATGGACCCGCATATGCATGCATGCATTTGGGGCTTTGTTTTTCTTACGGAGAAGGAATAGACGCAAGCAACTTGCGCTGCATGCACGCGGCAGAAGTAGCCGAGGCCGCAAGGCATGAAGTGAGGGTAGAGGAGGGCAATAGCGAGCAGCAAACCGAAGAGGGTCACCACTACAAAAGAAAGAATTAAAGGATGCAGCAGCCAGCCTGCTCTAGAGGACCAGAGCTGTGACTCGGGGTCCCACAGCAACAGGGAAAACTGCACTGGCAACAGCAGGCAATGCTGCAGCAGTAGATACACCGAAAAGCGCAACGAAGACTGATAGTTAGTGACGGCAACATATTCAGATTCTGCTTCTGTGTCTCTGAACTGAAGTGGAAAATATTGCAAGTCCGAAGTGAACGTCCTGTGCGCATCCGACAGACGAGTGGACCAATGGTCAGCCCCCCTCCTACTGGGCAGGTTCTTCACAGCGCCAAACGATTGTCTAGACAGCTGGTGCCGATGCAGCGCTGTTGCTTCTCTATACGCCCACGCAAAATTCAACTCCCCTCCTGCTAGCTCTTTAAAGGGAGACACCAAACCCGCAAGCAGCTGCTGATACCAACGCTGCTGCTGCTCCTCCCCCTCCTGTAGCGTCTCCTGCTGCTGCTCCTGCTGCTGCAGGCGATGCTGCTGCCGCGAGCGAGCTGAGCCCTGCGCCGACCCACCTGATGCTGCTGCTGCTACTGCTGCTGCTGCGTTGGACAAGGCACGCAGGGGAGAAGCAGCAGCAGCAGCAACAGCGGCAGCAGGGGAGCGGGGCACCGGAACAGCTGTGATGCTCTTATGGGAGTCGCAGTCGCTTGCACTCGAATCCCCTCCTCCTGAACTGTTCGTCAGCTGTCGTAAGACCCCATTATAGACGGGTGCTGCACCTGCTCCTTCTGGATGGGTGAGGGGGCCCCTCTCATCAGCGTGGAACAAACTATCTGAACGTACACTCGAAATAAGAGAAGAGATGTTCCCTCTAGCTGCCGCTCCCTCCACCTCAAATGCAGGCCGAAACGCTACATTCTTCTTCACTGAACTTCCCGCAACAGATGCGCCAGCAGGGGTATCTTCCCTACCAAAGAAGGCGGCTCCTTTAGGTAAACTGCAAGACATAGTCAAGCCGCCCCTGCTACTCTCCTCTTCTCTACTCCCATCGACGGCCTGTGGACGTACACCAGAAGCATCGGGCACGCCCGATGCTTCAGGGTGACGCTTCATTGCTGCACAATCTGTTTGCAACTCCCCTTCGGGGCCAACGCTACGCTGTCCCCTCAGCTATAACGATACACTTCATCAACCAGTCAACAAGTAATGCTCAACAGCTGCATGTAAGGATTGTCTCTGCTCTTTAAAACCTCCAACGGAACCCACGGAACGCCATGAGAAGCCCCTCCCGTACAAGAAGGCGCGCAAGCTGATCCTCCACACCCTGCTGCTGCGCAGCGGCTGCTGATGCTGCTGCTGCTGCAGCGCTTATTGCTGCTTCCCGTGCTGCTGCAGGCGCCTGCTGACCAGGCGAGAGCACAGGGAAGAGAGAGCCAGCGGAGCAGGTGTGGTGCGGCCTGATTCAGCGACCCTGTCTTAGAGGGAAGAGCAGGCGATACGTGTAAATGGGGGCGGAAAAGCGTGGGGGGTTGAATGTTGTGCAAACAAACCAAAGGAAGCAATATCAAACTCATTCGTCAAACGTCATGGAAGAAAACAACAGTGACGAAAATCGGCTCCGCAGAGCCGGGCTCTCCGCAGCAGCAGCACCTCGGGCCTGGTTTTTACCTATAAAGAAACGAGTTCTTCAGTTGTAAACGTAGATTTCAAATTAGTTAATATAAAGATACATGAGATTAATCCCGACGTCGATACACTTCATTCCGAAACATTCCGCGCAACTCCTCCACGGGCGAGCATCGCGCCGACGGTCCGAGTGGCGGATCTTGCAACAAACAGACATCACCGATGGTTCGTTCTAGCGATGAAAATGAGATTGACCCGGAAAATGTGGGTTTAAAAGGTCTTTAAAAGTCTGCATTTAGAAGGATTTCCAAATCGGCTTCTGTCGTACAAACCGTCACGCGCCCGTGTTGTGGACGTACACCACAACACGCCTACCTGCCTTGCTAGACACGGCCTCAACCGCCGCTGTGAGCAGAGAAGAAAGCCGCAAAAAATGCGTTTTATTTCCGCTGGTTTCAGCCGCAAATTCATAAAAAGCACAAAAAGATTCAACGGAAAATACGTATTCTTATCGATGAAACTCAATAAATGCGCCCGATCTTACTTGTCCTGCAGCATCAGCAAACCACGTAAACTTGCTGTTGAACAGCCTGTAATCGAAATGTGGCAGCGCAGATTACAGCTCTTTTACTTTGCAGAGCCACTCATTTGAATAAACAATTTAAATACCTCTCTTGCAACTGCACACCCGAGGAGGCGCTGCGTATATTGCCCGAAACTTCCTGAAGAAGCTGAAGAAAGAAGGTCTTGGTCTTCCTTATAACCACCACCACCTCGAGCAAAACACCTAAGGTCATTACACTGCATAAACCGCGTATGAGCTTCGAACAAAACTTCCGTGCGGCCCCGCGTTCATTCATTCCTAATGGAATTCTTTTGATTAGTAGTTAGATACATTTGTCTCTTTAGATGAAGGCCCCTGCTTTCTTGCCTGTAAGAAGGGCTTAGATGCAGATTGGCTGGGGGACTTTGTAGTGATAGATCTGTGCTTTTGTTTTCCACAGCAGCAGCACTTGATGGTGAAACACAGCAACTACTGTTGAGGTAACAAGCAAGGAGGGAAGGCTTCAGCTTGCTGTAGAGTCTGTTAATAGACATAGAATACACTTAAGGCTCACGCATGCAGCCACTCTGGTTCATAAACAGGGCAGCAGATAGAACAATATACGTAGCTGCACTTTATTGGCTTGCTGCGTTAGCAACCTGCACCCAGTTGCATGAGGGGGCTTCAATAGCACAAGGTAAATAAATATAGACGAAGTATGTAAAATAGAAATAAGCAGCTGCGGGCACATGAACACCCACTGCACAAATGCGCGGGAAATGGCTTGCAGCTGTTAGTACGTTTTATATAAATTCATTTTACGCAATATGTATTGCCTCTACACCTAACTGTGCGTTTATTTCCTTTAGATTAATGAAAATGAGCTTAAGCCAAAAATTGTGCGCATTTGAATTGGGTAGAGAAGCCGAAAATAGGGTGTATGGACACAAGGGCCGCCACAACAGGGAGCTCCGCAGCACAGCACAGTGAAGTGAATTTACCTCCTGAGCAACGGGGTCGAACTATAATACACAAATGAACCCGGTGCCAAACTACTAAACCAGTTTGCAGCAGCAGCAGCAGCAGCACGCGCTGTAGCTGCTTCAGCATCAGCAGCTTCACACGGTGCTGCTGCGGCTGTTTGGGCCAGCGCTTGGAATTGGTCCAATACAAAAATGAGTTTTGTGGCGCTTAAGAAAGCCCCTACCTGCATATACACCTGGAAAACATGCTCAGATTGACTGCATGCATTCTCACCGAGCGGGGGGCAAACACGCAGCGGCGAGCCAGGAGGAGCAAGCCGCTACTAAGTAAACACGCATCATCCGCTGCCTGTCTTTACTTTCAAACTAAAAGGAAGACACATGGCAAGCTCGCAGCTTCACTGCCTATACACCCCAAATTCGCCTGCCACGTGAGACTGGAAAGCATGCAGAAGCGCATGCAAGAACAGAAAAGTGCAACTCCCACGGATCCTGCTGCAGCTGCTGATGCTGCAGCAGCAGCAGCAGCAGCACGGACCATTGCGCAGCAGCTAGTGCAGGCTGCTGCTACAACTCGAAGTGTCTGACTGAGACCTTCCTTCAATCAAACTCTCCATCAGTCTCCTGAGGAGGAGGCAGTAAGGCTTGAGGCGCCCAAAATGTATCGAAGAGGGACTTCAGACCCACAGAGCCGGTCTTAATCGCACCCTGTGCACACAGAACAGCAGCACCAGCAACAGACACAGCAGTAGAAATAGCAGCAGCAACAGAAACAGCAATAGCAACAGCAGCAGGAGCAGATGCCTGAGATGCGCGCCATTATTTGCATGCAATGGAACACAAGCCATCATACACAGATTACAGACACTGCACAGATGAGGACAAAGGCTCTTTACAGAAGCAGAAGGCAAGACGGAGCAAGGGGGAAAAGGAAAAAGATAATAAACTCGATTAAATTCGATTTCGCTTCATCATCTTCTGTCCTGTTCTATAGAGCGTACGAGCGCCTGCACGCAGAAACAGATTTAGCAAATGTGTGCAGCTGTTGCTGTTGCTGCTGCAGCTGCTGCGGTTGCTGCTGCTGCTGCTGCTGCCGTTGTAAGCTACAGATATGGAGGCAGATGTGCAGTCGCTGCTGCAGCGGACGCAGCTGCTAATGTCCATGATTCATTCATTTCTGCGTACGGAAGATAGAAAAGAGACGCCCTGCAGCAAACAAACCATCATTTGCAGCATGCGGCGTCATAAACTAAACCCTAAACCCTTAACCCTAAACCCTACCCCTACCCTGAGCCCTGCAGCATGTAACACCCAGGCCTCCCATTCAATATTCAAACCTAAACCCTCAACACTAAACCCTACATGCTAGATGCTGGATATTAGACCCTTAGCGGGGGAGTAAGAAGAGGCCTGCCAACCCTAAACCCTAAACCCTAAACCCTAATCCCAAAGCCACTGGAAAACTGTGAAGGCGGCGTACTGCGGTAAGAACCTGTCTAGGAGAAATATATGAAATTACTCTTCTGCCTTTCTTTTGAGCCTGCAAAGGAAGAAGCGAGCGAAAGAAGAAAGAACAGAAAGGCGTGTGTAAAGGGTTTAGGGTTTAAGGTTGTGCACACAGTGCATGCAACAGACAGAAACGCACCTTCTGCTTCTGTCCCGCATTTTTGTTGGCGTCTTGCTGCAAGGATATTGGAAAAGGATCAGGGTGAAAAAGGGGAAAGCTTGCGCTTCCCTGTTCCCCAGGCAGAAAGGCCAGCTTCAACACAGCACCTTTTACTGCTGCTGCTGCTGCTGCTGCTGCTGCCGCTACAGTTTTGGGAGCGGTAGCAGTCTTTACAGGGACTAGACTTGCGCTGTTGGAAGCAGCTGAGGTGGTGCCCGAAGAGTTGCTTTGCTCGTCGGGTGCAGCAGCAGCAGTAGCAGCAGCAGCAGTAGCAGCAGTAGCAGTAGTAGCAGCAGCAGTAGCAGCAGCAGCAGTACTAGCAGCAGCAGCAGAAGAAGAAGAGCCCGCTGGTGCTGCTGGATCTTGAGCTACCAGTAGGTCGTTGATGTTGTAGTTCTCGTTACTGCTGCTGCTGCCGCCGCTGTCACTGCCCTCGCCGCCCTCGCCGCCCTCGCGGCCCTCGCCGCCCTCGCGGCCCTCGCGGCCCTCGCGGCCCTCGCCGCCTTCGTTGCCCTCGCCGCCTTCGCTGTCCTCGCCGCCCTCGCCGCCCTCGTCGCCCTCGCTGCCCTCGCTGCCGCTGTTGCCCACATCTTCAGCCTCTCCATTCTGCTGTTCACCGGCAGGCGCATCCTCTCCGAAATCCTCTTGCTCTTCTGTCACCTGCGGAGGTGTACATACACCGCAGAGGGAGGCAAACAGTTGGGTGCTACTGAGGTCTTTACAGACAACATATATTTACGCGAGACCCACCCCATGGTTTATAATACATATATATATATATATATACGTAAACATATATATATATATATATATGTTTATAATATTTGCATATATATATAGTAGGCATACGCCTATATTATATACATATGCATTTAGAGGCCCTGCATTATATTATATGTATAATAGGGGCCCTGTAACGCCTCGGAAATGCATTCCATTATTTTAATTGATAAATAATTCGCCTATTGAGGTGTCAATACAACAGCTAAAGACAAAAACCCTAAGCTGTCCTTCCTTCTTTATGCATCTTGCCTCCATATTGTAATAAATCCAACGATAAGATCCATTAGGCGCAACATACGAGAAAGCGATGTAATTCGTATCATCATACCCAGACAACATAAGGAGGCTTTAATGATTTAAAAGTGTTGTTATTGACTTACGAGTTCTTCTTCCTTGCCTAGAACATAACACCACGACAGCAGCAGAATACCCAGAACGAGAAAAACCGTCATCGTCTTGTGGCGCAGCAAGAAGCGTTTAACTTCTCTCCTTGATCCCTGCAGCGAGTCCTCAGTTGATGAACTTGCATATCCATTGTTTTCTAATAGAAGTGCATCTAGAGGCAACTCCGTTGGGGTGTGGTTTTCCGCTGCACTGGCTGCTGCGGCAGCAACAGGAAGAATAGGTGCTTCCCCTTCAGAGAACCTCTCCGCGAGAGAAACGATTGCCTCGGGCTCACCCGCTGATAAACCCCACTCAGGAGTGGAGAGAAGAACCACCAATTCCAAAATAAAAGGAAAATACCGCATTTCGACGGTGGGAACCGCTGCGGCAGTTGCGATCCGATCCCTATGGAGAGCGTAGAAGGTGAAAGAGAAGCAGAGCCCGTCAGGATTGCCTCGCTGAGGTGGGTGAAAGAAATAAAAACGAGCTCATTCAAAATATGAAAGCAGTTGAAGTTGAAGAAGAGATCAGTCGGGCGGCTCTGCCCGGTATTCGCTCCCGGGAGCTGCTGAACTGAAGACAGAGAACGACCAGTAGCAAAGCGATATTGGCATTTAAATAAAAAGAGGTATTTCCACGGAGGGAAAACTCTGATCAAGAGACTATTTACACATGAAGTTGCAAAGCAGAGCTTCAGTCGAACAAAACCCCGGTAGATTCTGCAGCTATTCCGAGGAGTAGCGGCGTTCCCATTCAAAGCATCATCACCGCACAAAGGAGGATACAGGAGATTCTAGAAAAACAAAACACCGAATTTAATGTTGAATCCCAGTTTTTAAGGTAATGATTTCTCTGAATTTCCTTGCTCATTCACCGGATACCCATACATCGTAGATGCTGCATGCTCCAGCAGCCCATATACTGGAAGCTGCAAAAGTTGCAACTGCTGCTTACCCCCTTCTATTCTTGTGTTAATTTATTTTCATTCTTAAGTAGGGCATTCAATATACTCATTTATGTCGAAATTCCAGGAGATTTGCGGGAATAAACACCCGAGAACCGCCGGCTGAACATAAGTACCATTACAGAACACCTCGCCGCTCACGAGAGTCCGCTACGAACACAGACGCGAAACGCGGAGGGAACTTGCAAATTAACTTCTTTGTGGCGTATTTCTGTCATTTTAATTACTTGCTGGTTGCTTGAAACCCCCTATTCTCCCCAGGTTTCCACAACAGAAGGAGTTGAATTCCGTTCAGTTTCTGCACAAAACCATGATAAAGTCGGTGGTCGTTGTGAACACGCAGGGGAAACCGCGCATTGTGCGTTTTTACGATGGAACTGTAAGTATAATTTGCACTTCTCCTTTCTCTTATTTAAGCGGCAGACACAGAAATCTCATGCACGTCCTCGTCTGTGTTGCTGGAGAAGGAACTGCGGAGTCTGGAGTTTGGCATTCGCACGCACATCTGGTGTATTCTCTCTGCTGCTCTGCTCTGCTCCGCAGCCCCAGGAGAAGCAACAACATGTCATGAGGTCTTTGTTTGCTGCTGTCAGCCGAAGGCCTGATGAGGGCTGCTGTTGCTTCACCGAGAACACCGAGTTGTTTGGGCCGAACCACCGCATTATCTACAGGTAGTCAAGCCCTCTTGTTGCTGTGGAGAGAAGCAGCTGCTGCTATATCTGCTACTCCCGCAGCAGCAGCAACAACAACAGCATCCGTGGAGATTGCTTTACCAGTGCCGTGCTACAGCAGCTGCAGCAGCTGCACAGGCAACACCAGGCTCAGCAGCAGCAGCTCCTGCTGCTTCAGCTACGGCAGCAATATCCCTTATTGTGGGTGAAACAGCAGCAGCTGCTACTCTGACTTGTCTGCATGCGTTGTATTCTGTACAGACACTTCGCCACGCTGTTCTTTATCTTCGTGACGGATCATCTCGAGAGTGAGTTGGGCATCCTTGACCTCATCCAAGTGAGCACTTCTCAGGGTTTAGGGTTTAGGGTTTAGGGTTTAGGGTTTTTGATGGTGTCGGCTTAGGGAGGCGTAGGGATAGAGTTTATAAACCCTCCCTGGAGGGAGACCGCAGCAGAAATGCGGCGAGCGGACTGCAGACCTGTGGCAGCAGGAACCGCATGCAAGCATGCAGCCATGCAGCTGCTGCTGCATACTTGCATGCATACTCGGCTGCATGCATATAAATAGGTGTTGTGTGGGGCTGGCAATTTGTTCAGGTGTTTGTACAGGTGCTGGACGCCTGCTTTGAGAATGTATGCGAGCTTGACCTTGTCTTCCACTACGACAAGGTAAACCCTAAACCCTAAACCCTAAACCCTACTTGGCTATCAGCTGCATTCTTCTTATCTTTTGCACTGCAACCGCCTTTACATTCTTTTCGGGCGTCATGCTATTTTGCTTGTCCTGAGATGCGCCAGGGTTTAGGGTTTAATGTTAGGGTTTAGGGTTTAGGGGAGATTAATGTGCTTGTGCGGTTTTGTTGGCACAGATAAATTATATTTTAGATGAAGTAATAGTCGGAGGTGAGAGGAGACCCTCAATGAGCTGTCTATACACCTCAGTGTGCCGATGTGAGAATGTCTCTGCCTATGCAGAGACATCCTTAATTGAATACATGCATATATATATATATATGTATATATATATATATATATATATACATATATATATATATGTATGCTTATCTGTTAGGGTTGGTGATGGAGACTGCATTGGATACAATTTTGGAGTCGGTGGGCGGTGTGAAGAAACTGGTGGACGCTGAAACTTCTTTCTTCGCTTGACCTCACCACCTTAACTGCATGCATGCACTTGCATGCATGCGCTTGCATGCATGCACTTGCATGCATATGCTTGCATGCATGCATTTGCATGCATGCAGCCCCAAAACCGCCGAAGCCCGCAACGCCCCGCTCACTGCATGCCGCTGCAGTTTTTTGATGTTTGTCTGCGGGGTGGAGACACCGGGATGCATGCGTTTAGTGCATGTGCATGCATGCATGCGTTTAGTGCATGTGCATGCATGCATGCATGCATGCATTTGCATGCACTTGCATGCATGCATGCATGCATGCAGATTTTCGTCTTTGTTTGTCTTTGTCTTTGGTGCTGCCAAGCCGTACAGGTGGGCAGTGCACAACGCAGTGCAGCAGATTTAGAGAGAGAGAAGAAACATAAAAAAAAGAAGGTTGTCTTCTCTCCTTCCAGGTGTACAGGCAGCTGGCATACACCCCACACCTGCGCCGATACACTGCGCTTCATTATACAGCAACGGGTCGTTTGCTGCTGCAGATTTATTTATTTATTTATTTATTTTTTCCCTTTACTTTGTTTTGGGTGTACTGCACAGACGCAGTGATGAGTGGTGAATCCAATTATATAAAAATTATATTATGTTTCACACCTATAGTAAATTACTACTACCACTTAAATATAATTATAGTTAAATATAATTGTAATTAGTTACAATCGTACTTAATTATAATTATAACCAATACTTATAATATATGTACTGCGATATATACATATATATGTTTACATACATACAATATATATGTAGTGGAGAAGTGTTTCCTGCTTCTTGCTTTGCTCTGACCGTCAGCAGCCGCTCCATCTCAACGTGCGGAGTAAACAATTAATTAATTGAAGGAAGACAATTAATTAATTCATTACGGTGTACAGACAGCTCAATCAACATATAAATAGAGAGAAAAGAAACAGAGTCCGTTGCATTATTATAGAGAAAACGCAAGACATATAGACAACGCAGTGGATGCATTTGTGCTTTATTGATATTTATTTCTTTTACTTAAAACAAAAACAATGGAGAAACATGTGAAGTGCATATTTTCTTCGTGCTGTTAGCTGCCTGTACACCTCAAACACCAGCAGGGGCTGTTCTGTCTTGCTGCTGCGAGGTCAATTGAGTGAAAACAATCAATTATTGTTAATTGTTTAATTAAATTAAATGGTTTCTATTATATCTTTTTGCTGCAACATTTTTTTAAACGAGAGAAAACAAACCTCTACACCGATACACCGCGGCCTCTGTATACAGCTGCATTGTTGTGCGGCTTTGTTTATAATATAATTAACTAAATTCCCTCAAAATTTACCTCTAAATGTACATAATAGAACAATTAAATATCATCAACTTACATTTTAAGCGCCTATTTTATAAAGATGCAGAGAAAGAAGAGGGAGGGGAATACATGCATGCATGCACTCCTTCTCTCTGGTGTCTGTACAGCTACTATAATGCATGCATTTGTTTTGCTGCTTAAGGTTTAGGGTTTTAGGGTTGAACATTTAGTGAAGACTCACCTGAAGATCTCCATTTTGCTGCTTCTTCCTTTCCTATTGTGTACAGCCGGCAGCCGCCCCTGCGCCGCATTTGCTGCTGTGTCTCCTTGCTGCTGCTGTCGCTGCTGCTGCTGCTGCTGCTGCTGCGCCTCTGTTTGCTGCTGTTGTCTGTCTCCTTCTTATTTATCTCTGACCATCACCAGGGACCTCCCCCTCCCCCCGACTGCATTCGCTCCACCTGCGGCCTGGAGCAGCAGCAACAGGACAGCATAAGCAGCAGCACCACTGTCAGAAGACGCTGCACTTTTTAGCAGATTCCCTCGTGCGCCTCTGTCCCCGCTGCAGCAAAAACAAACCCAAATGTCGCAGTCGGCGGACGATGCTGCTGCTGCTGGCAGCGAAGCCAGCAGCAGCAGCAGCAGCAACAACAACAATGTAGAATTAAGGGAAGCAAATCCAGAAGGGTTTTCAGGCTCTCTCCTTGACTGTCTTACAGAGGCACAGAGAGCCTTAGCCCAAAAGAACCAGTCCCTACAGCAGCAGCAGCAGCAACAGCTGCAGCAGCAGCAGCAGCTGCAGATGCAAGAGCATCCGCATATACAACAGCAGCAACAGATAGAACAGCCACAGCCTGAGCAGCAGCAGCTGGTGCTGCAGCCAGAGCATCAGCAGCAGCAGCAAGTTGTTGCTGGTCCGGGGGATGCCGTGCAGGTGCAGCAGCCCCAGCAGCAGCAGCAGCAGCCGGATCAGCAGCCGGATCAGCAGCCGCACCAGCAGCCGCAGCAGGAGTCGCAGGAGCAGGCGGAGCAGCAGGAGCAGCAGCTACAGGAACAGGTGGCGGAGCAGCAGCAGCAGCAACAGCAGTTACAGCCGCCGCAGTTAGAGGAGCCTCCACAGCAGCAGCCAGGGCCGCAGCAGGAGGAGGAGCAACAGCAGCAGCATGAACAGCAGCAGCATCTGCAGGAGCACCAGCAGCAGCAGGAGCACCAACAGCAACAGGAGCACCAGCAGCAGCAGGAGCTGCAGGAGCAGCAGCTGCAGGAGCACCAGCAGGAGGAGGAGCAGCAGCCAGAGCAGCAGCTGGAGCAGCAGCAGGTGCAGCGGCCGGAGCAGCAGCAGGAGCAGCAGCTGGAGCAGCAGCAGGAGGCGTTGGCTGCTGCTGCAGCTGCAGAGCCGCAGCCTGCCAGCGGTTCGTCTTCTGGGTTTGCTGCTGCGGGCGAGGGCCCCCCTGCACATATGCTGCTGCACTCTGACAGCTGCTGCTGCTCTACATCAGGCGACAGCCTTCCCAGCGGTGCTGCAGCAGCACTACGGGCCATCGGGGCTGCGAATGCAGCAGCAGCAGCAGCAGCGGCTGCTGCTGCTGCAGCAGAAGCCGCAACCACAGCACCAACAGCCGCAGCAGCAGCAGCAGCAGCAGCTTCCCCCGTCTCGGAGTCTCCGGGAAGCCGCAGGACGGCAGCAGCAGCAGCAAGAGGGAGGAGGCCATACAAGCGGCAGGGAGAAGAGGCACCTGAAGCAGCAGCAGCAGCTGCAGCAGCAGCAGCAGCCACAGCAGCAGTCGAAGGGACCCCTATTAGGCCCAAGTTGAGACGCAGCGAAGAAGGCAGCAGCAAGAGCAGCAGCAAGTCGAAGGAAAGCCCAGGAGATAACAGCACAAACAGTGCAGGGAGTCCCTCAACACCAGAGAAGAAAGCAGCAGCAGCAGCAGCAGCAGCAGCAACAGCAGCAGGATGTTCAGCTGGTACGGCTGCGGCTTCCCCTGCTGCAGCGTCACCTTGCCCCTCCGAGCAGCAGCAGCAGCAGCAGCAGCAACTGCTGCTGCTGTTGCAGGACGGCTCTAAAAAGCGCATGAGGAGGGGTGCAGCAACTCGCGGCAGAGGTGGCAGAGCTAAAGAAGAAAACGCAGCAGCAGCAGCAGCAGCAGAAGAGGGGGATTCACTCGACGTTGGGGCCTCCTCTCCCGGCGACTCGCAGCAGCAGCTGCAGCAGCAGCAGCAGCAGGTGGAGGTTATTCCACAGCCTGCTGGGAGGAAGCGTCGGGCTGTGGGTTATGTCTTTATTGTTGAGAAGGGGCCGGGTGAAGACAGCAGCAGCAGCAGCAGTGCTGCACCAGGAACTAAGAAGGAAGAGCAGGAAGCAGCAGCAGCAGCAGCAGCAGCAGAAGCAGGCAGCAGATTCTCCGCTCGCTTGCGGCAGCGCCCAGAGTCTCGCTTCTCTTCAGGGGTTGAGGGCATCTCTGCTGCTGCTGCAGCAGCAGCAGCAGGTGGTGGTGCTGCAGGGATGGGTGCTTCATTTCCTGCTGCTTCTTCGTATGACGGCGACGGGGGCGTGGTAGCTGCGCATACACCGCATGCAGCAGCAGCAGCAGCAACAACAACAAGAGGAGCAGCAATGCCCCTCGACCCCACTACACGCCGTCGCTGTTTAGTTAGTCAGAGACGCATCAAAGGTGTTGAAAGATATTTACAGCTCTGCGAACAGATGTACTTCGGGTTTTGGGGCGGCCGCAGCAGCAGCAGCAGCAGCAGCAGCTGCAGAGGGGGGGAGGTCGAGGCTATTCGCGGCGCAGGAGGAGTGCATATGGTCAGCAGCAGCAGCAGCAGCAGCAGCAGCGTTTCAGAGTTATGTAAAGATGAAGACACAGAAGTAGGTGCGGTGATGCACCGCTTGATTGTGTGTAACAACACGCAGCGGGAGCGTGCAGCAGCAGCAGCAGCAGCCGCAGCAGCAGGAAGTGGTGGTGGTGGCGGCGGTTGCGGCGGGGGTTCGTCGCAGCGCAGCAGCAACAGCAGCAGCAGCAGCAGCAGGGATTCTCAGCAGCAGCAGCAGCAGGAGTCAAGCTGGGGGGTCTCTTCTTCGGGTAGTGGTTGGCAGCGGCGGAGCGGGAGCAGCAGCAGCAGCCAGCAACAGCAGCAGCAGCAGCAGCAGCACTGCCGAGTAAAGCTTACTCCAGTAGAGCTGCTGACATCTCCTTTGAGGCAGCAGCATGTATTAGATCTGTGGGGCCCTAAAGAAGTTGCATTGTTTGAAGCTGGTATATGTAAGTACGGTAAAGACTTTAATTTGTTGCAGCGGCTTATAAAGACAAAGACAAGTAAAGAAGTTGTTGATTTCTATTATCTCTGGAAGCAAACAAATAGATATGCGGCGTGGAAGGAGCACAGAAACCTCTCCAAGACGATGCTGCACTCTGTGTTTGGGTGAAGACGTTGAACATAAAATATATCAAATAAACAGCATTTTATTATAATACAACAAATTCAATCTAAATACACAAAAATATACACTAAAATGCACAAAATGTTGGCGAAAACAAACAACTTTCAAAATACTAACGACAGAAACACCGCCAAAAACTACACCAACACACGCGACTTCTGCATGCATGCATGCAGCAAGCTGCGTGCACTGTTTGCATGCAGCAAGCAGCATGCACTGTATGCATGCAGCAAGCTACGTGCACTGTATGCATGCAGCAAGCTACGTGCACTGTATGCATGCAGCAAGCTGCATGCACTGTATACATGTAGCAAGCTGCATGCACTATATACATGCAGCAAGGTGCATGCACTCTATGCATGCAGCAAGCTGCGTGCACTGTATGCATGCAGCAAGCTGCGTGCACTGTATGCGTGCAGCAAGCTGCATGCACTGTATGCATGCAGCAAGCCGCATGCACTGTATGCGTGCAGCAAGCTGCATGCACTTTATGCGTGCAGCAAGCCGCATGCACTGTATGCGTGCAGCAAGCTGCATGCACTTTATGCGTGCAGCAAAATGCATGCACTGCATGCATGCGTACAGCAAGGTGCATGCATTATATGCATGCAGCAAGGTGCATGCATTATATGCATGCAGCAAGGTGCATGCATTATATGCATGCAGCAAGATGCTCTTGCATGGAGCAAGATGCTCTTGCATGCAGCAAGCTGCATGCATTGCATGCAGCATTGTGGGGCTGTAGCGGATAGGTGGGAAGTGAGATGTGGCGATGCAGATGTGCACATACACTGCAGCACGCGCAGCATAAACACCTTATGCAGGTCTCCTTGTTCTCTCTTTTTCTTTTATTGTTTGTCTGTGCTTTCTTACCCATCTCTCTCCCTCTCTTCCTGCACGATTTCTCCTCCTCACTGCAGCAGATACACCTTCTTACTTCCAGGTGTACGTACACCCCATCTTCATGGGGTGTACATACACCAGGGCTGGGGCTGGACGTACACCCAATTCTGTGCTGCGGTGCCACCTTATGATGTGGGGTGTACATACATACACCCTATGATGTGGGGTGTACATACATACACCCTATGATGTGGGGTGTACATGCATACGTACACCGAAGGGGTGCATGCGTAGGGCGTTACGAGGTGTACAGGGTCCTCAGCATAGCATAGCAGTGTTTTTGTTTCTTGCAGCAGTAGATGGTTTGTCTGTCTGTAGATAGAAGAAGAGAGATTGCTTTAGGAGTTGTTGTTTGGTGCTGCTCTTTAAAATTATACGCGAGAGGGCTTGCAGCGGGGTATTTATTATTCTCGCTGCATGCATGCATGCATGCGCAGCAACTCGTGCATGCAAACATTTGTTGCTGCTTTCAGCATTTCTTTCTCCTTCACTTTTATCGCCAATTTAATTATTTTAAAAAATCCAATACCCTCTTATGCATAAACGACATGTGCTACTTTATATATATATATATATA